AGGGATTAACTTGTCTGTTACTTGTTGACCTAAATTTGTTAGTCCAATGTTTACCTTTGCCACACTTTCTGCATAATCCAGGAGGGAGGGGTGTTTTGTTGGAATTATTCCTTGAATAAACATTATTTCTAGGAATGCTCTGTTTACAGTCCCTTTTTAGGTGATCTTGTTTACCACAATTGAAACTTTTGACATTACTATTTTTCTTCAAACCACTGGAAATCACCTCTCCTATCCAAGCATCATCATGGTCATAAGATTCAATATTGACTGTATCTCAGATCCATTCCTCCAATAATTGTAATTTTCCTTGGTTATGACAAAAGATAAATTAGATATGAAACTTTATACTCACAAATATAGGATGGGTGATAAAATATTTTCTTTAATTTTGCCAAATACAAATTGACTAGGTATTGTAACTATAATTCTTGCTTGATAACTGTTCTATTATATGTAATTTTACTGTGCTAAAGTTAAAACCTTCCTTTTTAATTAGACAGAAAAGGGGAAGTGCTAAGGGATAGCTTTCTGTACTCTGGATAAGTGTTTCTCTACTTGGTTGATAAATAAAGTTGCATTGGCTTATGGCAGGGCAGGATAGGGTTATGCAGTACATTCAAACTGAAGAGGAGATGAACAAGGGTGGAGTTGGAAGAGATGCAAGCCAGCCACCACCGAAGGAGCAACAAGATGCCAGTAGACCCGTCACAACACCACCATGCGGCAACATATAGATTAATAGAAATGGGTTAATTTAAGGTGAAAGAGATGGCTAGCAAGAAGTTGATGCCATAGGCCATACAGTTTGTAATTAATATTAGCCTCTGAGTGATTATTTTATAAGCATTTGCAGGACTTTGGGTTAGAGAGATTTGTCCTGACTGCAGGGCTGGGCATTTCTGGAGAAACTGTCAGGTACATTCATCAGTTAAAATAAAAACTCTTAGGGGAAATTGTAAGTACAAAGAAAATGAAAATTATACAAGGGATTAGTTTTACATTGTTTCACTAGAAATGATTCTATAATACTCCATTGTAAATAATCTCAAGATTATCTTATTTTTACATGTAACTGAATTTCTATGTAATAATTAATGCTAGAAGAAAATATAATTTATTTGACTGTGCATATCAGCCATGATTTCCCAATCCTACTCATATGTCAATTTTGTCTTCATTTCAATAATATATGATTTTCATTACTTTAATTTTATTGTCTTATAATATTAGAAAGTTCATGCCTTTAGATTTGTTTCTTAATCTAACTTTGAAAGTTTCAGTAATTCCTTTAGATTCTATTCCTTTTATGGTCAAATTTCCCATATCTTAATTTACTAAGCAGGACTTCATTAAGAATTGCTTTGTTTCTTTGCAGAGAATTAAACTCTGTCTATGTTGTCTTCCCATTGATATATCCTGTTATCTGTCTTCACAACACTTCTCAATGGTTTTCATTTCATTAATTTTAAGAGACTTTGAAATCTTGTTTTGATCTTCTGAAGGTTTCTCAGCTCTGTGCTTTCTCAAAATTTCATATCAATTCAGGATTACTCTTTCTATTTTGTAGGAATTCCCCATTCCTACTGAAATAAATTGCTTTGCATCCTTACATCACAGAAATCTCCCTCTCCCTGTCTGCTATCTTCCCAGTTCTGCATGAGAACATGAAAGCCATGTGTCAGTGTTCACATACCATGTATGTATTCTTGTCTTCTCCATCTGCTGTTGCTGTTTACATGCATGTTGGTCCATGCATAATTCATTTTGCAAGAACACAAAACTCCATATATTATACAGTTGATTCTTTTGTGAAATTTTTGCTTATTTGGTTGTTGGAGAAGGTTCTCACTGATCTACATGGTGACTTCAGTAAGTTGGATGCTCACTGATACTGTGTCTCTAACTTCTTTCTGTTGCATTTTCTGCATCATTCGTTTTGTTGAAATCTTGAGTATGGACAGTAACTAGGCTGAGAGGAGATCTCGGTGCCTACTAGGTGAACCTTTCTTCATTACTAATAGTGTTCAGCATTTTAAATGTGTACTTAATTGCTTTTTAGCATGATCTATTCAAATTATTTCCTTCTTCATTTAAATGATTTTTTATTTGCTTTGATTTTTTTCTTTATTATATGATATAATCTGTGATTAACCTCCCATAATATGAAAAGCTTGGTAATAAACTAATCTGTGCTATAGGCAGTTTCTTCATTTTTACATTTTCCACGCATGTTTTTTATTGCATGCATCCTTTGTCAGTTTCATTGTTTGAGCTTGTAATGAAGATCTGTGATTCATTATATAGTGGGAGAAAATCAGACCCAGTATCATAATTTTGGTCTGTGTAGAAACTTTTCCCATTACCACTGGTTAATGAGGCTGCCTAGTATGCAACACATATGTGTGTGTGTTTTTGTGTGAGTTATCTTGGTGACATCATATGGTCATTGCTATTTTTCTGGTTCTGGATATGCTGTTCTATTGCATTTGTCTGTGTCTCTACTCTTCTGACATTTTCATGTTCTGATCTTCTGTGGCCCTGCACTGTCATCTGGAATCACAGCTGGAACAATTCAAGATATTCCCTGGGATTATTCTGTACTCTATGATTCTTTGTGCTGCCTTAGTTTTCTCCTGATGATTCTTGTGAATCATATTCAGTATCTTGCTTTACACAGCTAACCTCCTTATTGTGTTGCTTGCATACTTTGTCCCCTCTTCTGTTATATTCCCTGGGAATTGAACCAGGTCTATGGATTTCTTCTTCATGGCTGTGAAGTCATCTGTCACTCAATCTCTGTATGTGACTAGGTATGAATCCCTGAAATATCTGTTGCATATTGCATACAAAGTTACTTGGACAGAGGCTGAAATCAGGACCAGATTATGGTGTGAAAATAGGTAAAGACAATTTGTGAGTTTATTCCAGCAGCATGATATTATGAGTGTATTCTCCCCTATTGCCTGTCAGCCTCCCAGTCACAGGCTCTTGGCCAGGTTTCCAATATATTGCAAATATGTCCTTCTCTGCACCCGGCCAAAAATTCAAACAGAAAGAATTTCATTACACAGAAAACTGTCTTCCCACTATGACACCGCTTTAGGAAACCAAGGTAAGCAACTACCAAGCTGTGACTCATTAAACAGCTTTAGTGTTTAGTGGGGACCCTCACAGAGTCACCTGATGGACATCTATATTCTCAGCTCTGAGTTCAGTTAAACAGAGTGTTCTATATCCATCTATTTCTCTGTGTGCCTCCAAACCTTCCACAGAGAGACACAGGTTCTGACTGGCTCTTTTAAGTTTGTTCAATAGAGTTTGTGAATTTTCTCATATGCAGAAACTTTTCAGTAAAGAACAACAGAAAACAGAAGTCATTTATACTTCTGAGGGTCAATGAGAGGATACTGGATAAAGAGAAGACATAGTTGGACACCACAAGGCTGCTGACCACCCTGTTGCTGGTCTTTCCTGGCAGCTTTCAAGGTCCTGTGGTCAATCAGTGTCAGGACATACTGTGCCTGTCAGGTTGGTAGTGTGGCAGAGAGGGTCCACATTTGGGTGAGGTCATTGATAACTCTTCTCTCCCACAAATATACACAGTACCTTTTGGTACTTTGAATGCTCTCATCAGGGCATCTAAGACATTTCTTAGACACTATGCAGTTCTGGTGGTCTGCTGTCTTCTCACCATTATCTTTTTGATATGTAAATCACCACCTGATGGAGAGCATGGGTTTTATGGCTTATTTCAAAGATAATCAGATCTGAGCTTTCTCATAGAATATAATTATTGATGCTCAGTTTTATGTTACTTACAATTTGGAATAAGTTCCTGTCTTACCTCCATTAATGCCTTTAAATGGAGATTTTTCTCTTTTCTGAGTAACAGTTGACACTATGTTGAGTTATTTTTGAAAAGGATACCCATATCTCTGTTCTGAGGTGTCTGGACTCCTTCCATTTTTTCACGTTTAGTAAAATGTTAGATTTAGGATTGCAGCTTCTATAGCCCATTATGCTAAGATATGTTCTTCCTATTCCCTGAATTTTCAAATCTTTGATAATCAGCAAATATGTAAATTCCCTTCATGGCTTTTATGAATGTATTAACATAATAATTTTACTTTTCTCAAAACATAAAATTTGCTGTCTTACGTGGATATATCTGTACATGTTGAAACAGTCTTGTATACCTCATCTTTGGGGGTAAATATATATGATCATTCACACTTGTGTTTTCTGCAACCTCCAATTTAATTTCTCTTATTTGCACTAGTTCACATTCCCTTCAGGAGTTAGAATAACGCCTCCTCGTGCCCTTTCTTCAAAAGCATTTGTGGCCATTTCATTTTTGTTTGATTTTTTTTTTTTTTTTGTTTCTTTGTTTCTCATTTTTGAAATGGTGGGCTCATTATATAGCTGATGCGCATCAGAAATTTCCTAGGCAGACCAGATTAGAGGCAAGTAACAGAGTTAAACATTCCTCCGCAGGCGAAGGGGTGAGATTAAAGTGGTGCCAGCGACCATGCCCCACTAGGTTTTGGGGTTTGGTTTAATTTGATTTGATGTGTGTGGGTGCTCCAGCTGCATGTATGTCTGTGCCTGATGAAGGTAATCATGAAAAAAAGGGACAGTGGTAGGCGGGTTGGAGGAAGTACATAACCGGAAGCGGGTCATTGGGCGGGGCCGGGAGCACCCGCTCCGAGGATCCAGGCTGAAGGGACAGGGTTTGCCACCCGTTCCCCGTTAGACTCCCCGAGCTGCGTGGTCCGCACCTGGGTGCGGAGGACCCGGCGAATATTCGCCGGGTATTCGGGGACCTGAAACCTTCCCGGAGCCGCAGTCGCCGTGGGGGTGGGAGAGGGAAGGGCGGCCTGGGAAAGTCACCAGTCAGCAGCGCAGTGGCGGGAACCGCAGCCCGGCGGCCCTGGAACCTCCCAGGTCAGAGGAGCTGCGGGGCTGGGACACGGGAGGGGAGGGACCGGGGTGTGCCCGCGGAGGCTGCTCAGAAGGACACTGTCAGCTCCCGCTGGCTTGCCCTTGGTGGTGGCGGCGCCTCGGCCGGCCGCTTACGTCATCCCCTGCGGCCTGCTGCGGCCGTTTCCACGCACTATAATCTCGGTGCTTCCCTGTGGACCGAGAGCCACTTTCAAGTGTTTGTCCGTCTCAGTTCTCTCCCTTGCTCCTCGCTTGCTCTCTTAAGTGTTGTCTGTCTGTCTGCTTCTCTCATGTCCTCAGGCGGAGACCGACTTTCGCTCTCCCCTCTGGCACTAGGCCTGTTGCATGTGGCGTGTTCTCTTAGCAGCCCACCCTGGCCTGCCGCCAGAGGTACAGGGTTTTCAGCCGCTTTATCCTTACAGTCACAGACTTCAGTATTGTGTTGTTGATTTTTTCCCATTGTCGGGAAGTTTGAGATTAGGTGAGTCTTACCATAATGTTTTTCACTTATATTAGGGTTGCCAGACTATTCTGTCATAAAATAATTCTTAAAATAACCTAGTAGAGCATTTGCATTGTCTTGTTTGCAAACATGGTTCTCTTTACTACTATGGTAATGCCAAGGCTTATAGACTTTAAATTCATCCATGCTTTCTAACTCCCCTGTTTTACCACTTGCCTATTCAAGACATAAGGCCTTTGCCCCTGAGTCTAGGCATCCTCAAAGAGCTTTGTATATAATAATGACATGAGGAACCTGTGCAGATATGATTAAACAGAAAATATATTTAATCGAGTGCCACAGATATGGTTGTAAACATTTAGCAAACCTTTTACTTCCTATTCATTTTTCTTCTAAGATATGTGCAGTCTAGGATTTAAATACAGCATTCAGCAATGTGTCTTCATATGCCGTGTTTTCATGTTACATCTTCTGTCCAGGGAAGCTCAGTATGAGTGCTGTGAGATTATATCAGGACACAGTAATTTATAATTAGCACACTCATTATAGATTGTATCAAAATTTTAGAACGAATCATTTGAATAATTGTGAGTACTCACCTGTATCAGGAAAATGTCTCATTGGTTGAAGAAAAGCACTCTACCCATGCACACATAGCCAAACTGTCCTTTTTTATTCCCGAATTTTTGACATTCAGTGCTGTGACTGTGTACTTCTTGTGGGAGGAATGGGAATGCCTAGACCCTGCTCACAGGGACTTTGGTAGAGATCTTTTGGAGAAGTACAGCACTCTGGATTCTGAGGGTGAGAATAGTTTTCTTACAGTCGCTCTTGATATCCTCAGGTTCCTGAGAAAACTACTCTGCATGAATGTGAGCTGTGTGTGAATTAGTCTCACATCTCAGAGAGGAAAGTGAAATCCTCAGAGAAAGAGAGACACTTTTCCTGATATGTTCTTTCTCTGTCATGTTTATCTTATTGACAGGTGTTAGCATCTTTTATTTTTGTTCCATGAAAAGTTTTAGGTGACTTCTGAAGAATCTCTTTCTCTTGTGCAGGGCCCACATTGCTCAGTGAGTCCTGCTCACCTGTGAATCAGAACAAAGAACCCTGGATGGTGAAGAGAGAGGAGACAGTAGCAAAGGATCCAGGTATGCTAGAGGGTCTGAGGAAGGGGTGAAGGGATGAGGAAGGGTTCAAGTGACAGTAGAAACATGACAAGAAGTTGGTTTTGCCACATTCTATTTCATTATACGTGATTCTAGAGAATTCTGCTGAGAAAAAAAAAATCTCAGGATTATCCTATTGTAAGTGTTTGAATTATTAATAATTATTAATACTCAGAGGCAAATATAATTTTTTTGACTTTGCATGGGAGTGATGCTGCCTGTCTTTCATTCACATCGCTGGTTGTGGTTTTAAACCAATATTACGTGGTTTCATTACTATAATTTTAATATAGTATTCAGTTAGAATCATAGAATCCTCTTGGTTTGTCCTGTACACAGAGTTTTTGGAGCATCCTGTAGTTTCTTCAAGTTCTGTGTTTTTTAGGGTTACTTTCTCTATTTCCTAAAATAATACCTATAGGATTTTGATAAGATTTGCTTAAAATCTCTGTTAAGTATTACACTCCATCTACATTGTCTTCTCTTTCTTTACCCCTGTTGTCTTGTCTTCAACACTCCAAAGCTTGCATCACTACAATTTTTATATATTTTGAAATTGCCTCTGTGTTTGATCTTTCTCTCATAATTCTTTTTTTTTTTAATTGGTTTTTCGAGACGGTTTCTCTGTGTAACTTTGGTACCTGTCCTGGATCTCGCTCTGTAGACCAACCTGACCTCAAACTCTCAGAGATCTGCCTCCGGAGTGCTAGGATTAAAGGCGTGCACCACCACCACTCGGCTCTCTCATAATTTTTGAAGTCAGTGATTTTTCAGTTTTATAGATTTTAGGAAGATTTTATACATATATATGAATCCCTGTATTATCTTGGTACAAATTACTTAGAATCTTTCTAGAACATAAACATCCTCTGCAGTAAGTAGTTGTTCTTAGTATTTGATGAGTTATGAATTTCTGAAATAACTGTTGTCCATGGAAAACAAAGTTTCTTAGACCCAGGCTGAAAGTAACACCTGCCTATGATGTGATTAGAAACAATAAAAGGCAGTTTGAATATTTGTGCATGTAGGAGAATGTTAGTAGTCGATTCCCTCCTAGAGTCTGTGATCTTCACTGTCACCGGATTTTGACCAGGTTACCTGTGCCATGCATTTATTTCCTTCTGTGGAACTGGCTTCAGATGAAACCAGAAGGCCTCTGTTACCCACAGAATGGGCATTTTTTTAACCTGGCTGATTGGGATTATAGCACACAGGATCTAAATCTTGGTATGGCCATTGGTATCTCTGACACACACACACACACACACACACACACACACACACACACACACACACACACACACACACACACACACACCCCAGCCTGCATATCAGTTTTTGACACTATGAGTGTCAAAGATATTTGACATAGAGTCCAAGATATTTTTAGACACTCTGCATAGACTGCTGACTTCTTAATATTTTCTTGTTGATATGTTAAAAAAAAAAAAGTATTGTAGGTGGATTATGCAGCTTATGAAGAGGTCTTAACTTTCTCATGAGTATTTCCACTTTTAAATTTCACAATTCTGTTTCTTATGCAAGAGGTCCTCTTTCTTATCTACTGTCCTATATTATCACCTTTAAAATTTTCTGTGTCCGTGAACTGTGTACCCACTGATGTAATGTTTTGAGTGTGGTAAATATCCTTCTCTGTTCTGATTAGGGCAAAGTGATTCCCCTGTCCTTTTGTACATTTAAGATTGTATCTCATTGTCTTAAATATGCTGAAGTATATTCCTATTGTTCTTACATCCTTCAGACCTTTTATACTGAGCAAATGTGATGTTTTGTCACAGTACTTCCTTGGATATGTTGACATGATCATCTGTCTTTTCTCATTGAGTCTACATATTTGATGATTTACATTGATCAATTCATAGGTGTTGAAACATTCGTGCATTCTTGGCATTAAATCAGCCTGCATTCCATTTCCATATAATTTAGAGACAATTTGTGTGTCTATGTTGATTCTGTGATTTTTTTTTTGTGTGTGTGTGTATATTTGTTTTGGCTCATCTGCTTTGGGTATATGGTATCACCTACTTTGAGTGTTGAGGTAAAGCTGGCTTTGTATGATGACTTTCTAGCATTCCTTTCCTTTGTGTTTTATGCAAAGTTCTTCTTGTGGTATTATTATAAGGTTTTTCTAAAGGAAAAGAGAGCTATGTGCTGTATCCATCTAGTTCCCAGAAACTTAGTGGAAATTCTGACTGCTTCAGTCTCAAGACTGCTTAATGCCTTTTCTAGTTTTAGAACTGAGAAGGTTGAATTGTTCACTTGTTTTTAGGAAGTCATGCTTTTCTTCTTCAATTCCAATTTCTTGGTATGTGACCATCCACAGTCTTCTATAAGTAACTCTGATGTCATTGGGATACACTAGAAAATCCTTTTATTGTTTCTAGTTCTATTACTTGGGAATTCATTCTTTTAGTTTGATTTAGGTGAAAAATGCTTCATCAGTGCATTTGTCAATTCACAGAAACAAGTCTCTTTCCTCGACTCATATTATTGTCTGGTCTCTATGAATTTCTATACAACCTTTCTAATATATTTCTATATACTGTTTTAGATTGACTTGTTCTTATGCCTGTAAGTTCTCAGCCACATAATTTTGGGAAAATGTCTTTTACAACCAGCACCTATTGCTGCCAAAACTTTTTAATGTATCTTTGTTATCCCACTTCTCTGTCACTGTTTTTCATGAACTGACACTCACCCTGATACTCTTAAGAAAGTGTCGTTAGTTGTCCATTAATTCTGTCTCACTGTTCATTGATTTAAGTCTCCACAGTAACTAATTAAGGAACCATAAACTAAGTGCTAGAGGTGGCTCAGCAGTTAAGAGCACTTGTTGCTCTTGTAGTTTCCAGATTCAGTACCATGTGTGTGCATGTTGACTTAAATCAGTTTCCAAATGATCTATTGGCCTCTTACGGCCACTGCAGGCACTTCATGCACGAGGTGAACAGACCCACCCCCAGAAAAATACTCATGTACATAAAATTAAAATAAATCTTAAAGAGAAACAATAGATGATCTAGATTTATTACAAAAAGATTCAAGATAACAGGATGGGAAAGAACATGGAGGTGACATTGCTAATGTGAGAGTAAGTATATAGCCTGGATATGTGATTTCAGATGGTCAGACTGAAGAAATGATGTCAAGTCAGTAATACATGTTGTTTTAAATGTTTTGGAAGTTTCATTGATCAAATTAACTCCCTATCGCTCAGCTCTAATTGCCAGTTCCCATAATGTTTCCTCACATCTCCATATTCATATTTTTTAAAAAAGTACTGAGTCCTGGCAGTCTTGGCTGTATGAGCATGAGCCACATCTCTGAAGACAACTGACTCTACCTCTTCCAAGGCCAAGTGTTGCCTGTAATATCTCAGGTACTGATGTGATGATCCCTTTCACCCCTGCTGGGATTTGAGCTTTGTTAATCTTATGCAGGTTTTTTGCATCCAGGCACAACTTCCATGGAATCAGTTCTGCAATGACATTCATGTGACAGATATGGGAACCAGATCAACTGTGTCTGTGTTGTAATTTCCTTATAACCCTGAAAGCCATGATGACGTGAACAAACAGTTCATATCACAGCAGCAGGGAATCCGTGGGTGGCCTGGGGAAAGTCACCATTTAGCTAGGCAGTGGTGGCAACCACAGCAGACCTCCAGGCAACTTTGGACCTTCCCAGGTCAGAGGGGCTCCAATGCTTGGAAATAGGTAGAAACAGGACCAATGTTGTGATCAGATCTCTGCTGCTGGTCATTAAACCATGTAGTATGATTTTGGCTATGGTTATCGTAATCCTGTCAGTAAATTTTAGATCATGTGAACTTATCCTGATGTTTTCATTAACCTGATGATTGCTAGGATATTTATAAAAGCATGATCGGGTAGTGAATTTGCATTATATGCTGTCGGAAAACATGTTTCTCTTTGTTATTGTGGTAGTTACAAAACTGTAATTTAAATTTATTCATTCTTTCTAACTCTCCTGTTTTACCATTTGCCTGTTCAAGAGAGTGGCTTTTCCCCATGACATCCAGGCATTCCCAGAGAGGTTTTCAGATATTAGTCACATAAGGTGGCACGGCAGATTTTATTGAATCACGAAGTATATTTTAGAAAGCTTTATTGCTATGGTTGTAAACATTAACATTTACTGAACAAATTTTTCTCCAGTTAATTTTCCATCTGAGACTTAATGCAGGCTAGGATGTAAATACATCATTCAGAAACGTGTTTTCACATATGTGGTGCTCAATATTCCAGCTTAGAGTGTGGAAAAGTACAGTATGCATGCAAACCGTGAGAGGATATCAGGCTACACTGTTTTTACAGTTATAAGATTCAGTATAGGTTAGGAAAGACTTAGAAAGCATCTGTTAAATAATTCTTGTCACTCAATTGTGTGAGAAAAATTGACTCCAATTGTGTTTTGTTTCATTGTTTCAGGAAAGCACTCTTCCTATAACAAATGACCAAATTGGCTTGGTGTTGCTTGGGTTTAGCTTTATTTTCTTGAATAACGATATCACTCTGTTGCTATGTTGGGCTCAGATCTTACCATGTACACCAGTGTCTTCCCTCAAGGGAATCTGCCTACCTCTGAGTGCTGGGATTAACACAGTGCAGGAACACAGATGCCTCAAGCACTTACTTCTTTTGTTTTACATTTCCTTATTTGTTTGCTGTAAGTAGAGTTTTCCTGTCCCACCTGCCAGCTCCCAAACAACCACTCAGAGAGTCTAACTATTAATTATAAATTCTTGGCCAATAGCTCAGGCTTACCACCAAGTAGCTCTTACATTATAAATTAACCCATATTTCATATTTTTGCTCTGCCATGTGGCAATACCTTTATTAGCATGGAATGTTCATCTCCTATTCTCTCTGTGTCTGGTTCAAGACTCCTCTTCTTCTGTCCTTCTTTCCAGTATTCCTCTGCCCTGAAAACCCTGCCGA